TAAATTAGTACGTGATATTATATTTTTGTGAGAGGAAGCATCGTACCTCGCGCATGCTCCGGGACCCGATTGCCCGTTGTTGCAATATTCAACAGGTAGTGAGTGGGGTGTGGTGGTAGGGGGGTGGCGGGGGAGGGACTGGGCCACTAGGATGGTCACTTACTGCTCGGGTTCACTCACTACACCGGCCCACACTCACTAGGTCGGTCACCCACTCACTCACTCACTGTTTGGACCATTCACTAAGTTGGTCACTCACTAGGTCGTTCACTCATTACACCGACCCACACACTAAGTTGGTCACTCACTACACCGGCCCGCTCACTATTTGGCTCACTAGGTTGGTCACCCATTTAGTTAGTCGCTCAATACTTGGGGCCACTCACTAGGTCGGTTACTCACTGTCAACGAGCCACCAGGAATGTGCCTTGAGGATGCTTCTTACAATTCCACAGTGGCGGGTTTGTTATTGTTAGCCGTGGCTGAGTTTGACCAGCGTGTGCTACCGATTGTGACTGAGCACACATGCCCACCCACACATGCAGTATATCAATGCATACCAAAAAATTACCTATAGATTATACCCCCTAACGCATTTCACCTGAAGATTAACCCCTCCAGCTTATTTCACCTGAAGATCAACCACCCTCATGCATGCTACCTGGGGAATTAGGTTGGTTAGGATAGGTTTTGTTAGGTTACGTTGGTTAATCTTCAGGTGATCTATAAAAATGTCTACAGGTTTAAATATCGGACGTGGTTGTCAGCCTATATCCGGCTCTCAATAGATTTTCGATACGGAGCCAGATAATGAATGTATACGCTAGGGGGACAACGGCTACTGATTGGTCGATTTGTTATCCAAAAGCGACACGGGGGGAAAATATTGTACGAGTTATTTTATTTTTACTTCATTAATAATCCAGAGCCAGACTTAACTAAACTCAACATACACGTAGAGCCAGACTTACTAACATACACGTAGAGCCAGACTTACTAACATACACGTAGAGCCAGACTTACTAACATACACGTAGAAACTTACTAACATACACGTAGAGCCAGACTTACTAACATACACGTAGAGCCAGACTTACTAACATACACGTAGAGCCAAGACTTACTAACATACACGTAGAGCCAGACTTACTAACATACACGTAGAGCCAAACTTACTAACATACACGTAGAGCCAGACTTACTAACATACACGTAGAGCCAGACTTACTAACATACACGTAGAGCCAGACTTACTAACATACACGTAGAGCCAGACTTACTAACATACACGTAGAGCCAGACTTACTAACATACACGTAGAGCCAGACTTACTAACATACACGTAGAGCCAGACTTACTAACATACACGTAGAGCCAGACTTACTGAACCATTGATCTCATACTTCACTGCGAATGCGCCCAAAACAACCTCAGTCTCGTGTGGGGCTACGGTCCGGCTCTCTGGCAAAAGTAAATACTGAGAGTTGGACGGGCTGCATTTTTTATACACCGACTCCATCATATCTGTTCACAAAAACAAATAAAATATTGACAAATGGAGCGGAGTCAGTAACCAATCGTGTTATTACTGAATGTAAAAGTCAAATCGTAGCTTAAAATAGGACATTGTTATTCGTAATCTATACAACTATAAATAATATTTTACCCCTCACTTGTATTCAGGAATTCGGATTAAAAAAAATCCATTATACCGTAACACCGACAAAAAATCAAATTAGTAAATACAATTATCAGAAAAACGTTCAAACTATCGATTTGGCATTGAGGGTTTTGCTAATGATAAAATGATGTCCATGGATAAAACAAAACAAAATACAACGCTAAAATGGTTAGAATGACCAAAAAAAAAATGGCTGAGTACACAACCTCCAAAGACCTTCAAAATGATCGCTCGGGATTATATGAAGAGCCAACGTCATCATTAATCCATACTGTGACATTCTCAACGCCCAGACGTCTTATCCAGAAAGGTCACAGAAACAATGCCGAATTTAGACCTGTGGAGGACCATGGTGGGCAGCCTCTTTGTGGAGCCCCCCCCCCCACCCTCATTATAACTACCCAAGAGGGTGGGGTGGCGAGTGAAGCGAGCCTATACATCTGGGAGTTCCGGGGGGCGCTGTAATCCCCCCGGGAAAATTTTTAAATTTGAACACTTCTTTGGAGAATTTTGAAGCCATATACAGTTATATTAAGGAAATTAGAACATATTGTAATATGTGGAGGCCCCCGGATTGTGGAGGCCCCTGGGCAGCTGCCCACGTTGCCTACTCCTGAATCCGGCCCTGCACAGAAACCTCACCAGAGATCTTGCTTCGAAGAATACACTCGGATCATGAGAAGATTAGACACCCTTAGCTTATTTCACGGGAAGATTAACCACCCTAATATTACTTTAGGGGGAGGGGGTTAAGGTATGGTATGGTAGGTTAAGTTAGTTTAGTATTAGGGAGGTTAAGTTAAATAAGTTTAGTGTTAGGGAGGTTAGGTTAAGTTAGTTTGGTGTTAGGGAGGTTAGGTTAAATTAAGTTAGGTTAGGTTAATGTTTAATGAGTTTGTCTAATCTACAGATGATCTTACAACTTACTAAATTCAATCAAAACTTAAGATAAAATAATGTTTATGTTTAAATGGGGTCGGATATCCAAACGCCGGCAGACGTTCTCGCCAGTCTCCTCGTTTTAGGGGAAGGGGGAAAAACAAAAATCAACCGAGCGGATGTAGCCGGTTCTCTTGTTTACGGCTACTGAGTTAGACACAAAAACCGAACCAAGAAAACGCCTTCAACGCCAGAGTGGTGAAGAGAGCTCTTCCCTTACTACCTCACGAGACGAGCTAAAGGTGGAAGCTCAAATGAATGAATAATTAACTAAAGTAAGCAAAAAATGTAGCATGCAAAGCTAAACCAGTGTGCACAGATCAGCAAACAAGTCAGCCGTTCCAGCAAGTGACCTTGACGGGTCCGCTCAGCACTGGGTCAGTTGTTTGTCCGCCCGACTGTCTGAGCTGGGCAGCGGCGGTGTGGGCGGAAGATTAGGACGGGCGGACGTGAAGGCGCCAACCGCAAAATTCCCTCACTAACTGTTGCAGGCACAGGGAGGAGTGGTGGGATTTTCTTAAGAGAGTTTAGTGGATTTTCTGAAGACAATAATTAATGTGTGGACGACTGGAACAACTTACCAAATATCATCATTAACTCGAACACGCTGGGTAGCTTCAAACATAGGTTGGATGGATATATGAGCAATAGGGGTTGAGTGTAAATAGGACTGCCCAGTATGGGCCAATAGGCCCGCTGCAGTTTCCTCCATTCTTATGTTCTTATGAATAATCTAAAAATAATGTTGAACATTTTCTTAACTAAATTTAGTGTTCCTATAATCTAACGCCCTGTATTAAATTTAAAATAAAAGATGAAATGCATAATTAAGAGTACTGTATCAAAATTTAGTTACTGTAACAAAATTTAGTGGAGTACATCAAAAGTTAGTCTACTATAACATAATTTAGTACAATATAATCAAACGTTAATTGTAGTGTATGAGGCTAGAGTACGCCTACTATCTCAAAATATAACGACACTGATATGGGACTGCAACTAAATATACACAAACATTCACTTGGGGTGAGATCGGGTCTGTAGTGAGCGTGGTTGACTTATTCGAAAACCACAGTCGTGAAAAGACGTACGTGTGTGTGTAGCTTGGGATTTGTGGGCAGGCCGTGGGCGTGATGTAGTAGACGCATCTTTCGAAATAAACTATTTTTGTCTGGTGTTGATACTAACTGTAGACTACACACTTAAAGACCTTTCATCGAGACGTAGTAATGCATCAACATTCCCGGAAATATATATCCATATCTTTGTTTTTAATTGTCGACATCAAGAATATTGTCTAAAAGTACATGTTTATATTGCAAAAACTTAAGTTGTCACATTAGGCCAGCGTGCTGAGAGTATATTTACAGCACTGAGGTCTCGGGGAACCCATTGTCCAAAAACCTTTAACTGTGAAATGTAAACCCCAGCTCTTATTTCATCGACTCTGATACGCCGATCCGCTACACAGTAATCAAGCTTTAGACTCAAGTTACAGTTGTTTGGCCGGCGGCATCTGGAGGCCAACCTTACCGTGGGTCATCCTCAAGGCTCCCGTTGCTCACCCTTGAACTCCTTGACATACCGGTAGCGTGTTACAGTGGCACATGTTGGGGGCGTTGGATCTGTGTTATATAGCCTACGTAGTCCATTATGTGTCGATGGATTTCCTTGACTGTGGAATCTTCTTTTGATGTAAGAATTTTATGGCACTACAATGCTCAACTTTTCCCGCAGACCTGTTATTACCTCACACCTCATAATTTAAACCTTCACTCTGACACAATAACCTATATACAGTAACAATAATCACTTAAGTCGACACCAATACTCAAGAAATCAAGTTTATGTTCCAGAAGAAAGTAGAATCCTGGCATGTTATTTTACCCCCTGAATAGCAAAACCTTTTCACCGCCCCTCATGTAACCCTTAAATAGACCGATACAGTATAAATACATCACTGAAATATTCCATACACCAGGTTGATACAGTAACCGACCGAGCGTCTGAGTTACGTAATTGTACCTACTCTATTCCGGTACAGTAACTATGGTAATTGCATCTCATTATTGTCACCATCACCGTCAACACTCCACCAACCAAACTAATTAACACGACAATAAAGGCTTTATGTCAATACCAAATATCCGTGGGGCGTATTAGTTATTATTATTATTATTATCTTTTTCTGAATACAAATTGATACGTATTAGTGACCGAACCTCGCTTAAAATTACTATTAATACTACTGTCAACAATAATAACCGTAAAAAAATATAAATAGAGCAATTATAAGGTTAACACCACGTAAGTATGTCACCGTACAAACCAGTTGCCTTAAAAGTACAAACAAGTTTTAATACACTTTACTAACACTTACCTTATAATGACGGGTATAATATTGACGTAATATCCAGAAATATCCTCAAAACGTCCAAATATTCGTAACCTTCCTCTACTTCCTTCCTAAAGTAAGTACAGTATTCCAATCGAAACTAAGTCAATCACAGAAACTTGGCCCAAATACTGTTTAAACACTGAAAACCATAACACACTCTGGGAAAAACCACTCGCTCGTATGTATACACTCTTTCTCCCGGTTAATACATGTTAAATTTTTAATGACACTTCATATTTGATGAACGGGTCACTTGAGATTGACTGAGAAACAGAGTCGCAACACCCAGCCTCTCATGACAGCGGCTAGAGCCACACTACACATTGCATCTGGTCTGCCTGCCCGTATCTCACCTGTGCCGGTCTTAGTTGCCAGTTACCACTTTAACACATCTCGCATCATCCACGAAATTACACATCTTCTACGATCGGAACACAGTTAATTAACCTCATATACACTGTAGAATATTTATGTCTACACTACAATGCACCAGAAAAAATGTAATGTTATTTGAGATTCGATATATAGTTAGATAAAAATGTGAAATTATAAGCTGCTGGCGAAACCTGGTGTGTTTGGAAGTCGCGTGCTGATACAACAACCCAATTCGGCAATTTCACACTTCTTAATGACTGTTAGTGGTGATTATGGTGTAACACTTCACTCCATTTTATTGATTTAGGAAAAAGTAAAAGTACAGGTACAGGTACACTTACTAGTAGTTAGAAGCACAGATACACTTACTAGTAGTTAGAAGCACAGGTACACTTACTAGTAGTTAGAAGTACAGGTACACCTACTAGTAGTTAGACAGATTTTGAAATCATAACAGGTCACAGTCACTCGGACCCCAAGGCTGATAAGAGGGAAGGGCCTAAACAAGAATATGTAATACCGTATATTATGTCTATATTGTAGATAATTCATTTAATTTTTTAAACAAATTGATGTATTTATTTATCCAACATACAAATATATGTTTTGAAAAAGCAGCATACAATTCAATTTCAAACATATTATCGGGGGATCCAGGAGGGTGGAATCCCCGATTAGGAGGTTAAGTTAGGTAAATTCAGGTCACTGCGAGGGAAACACCATAGAAGAAAAGTGCCTCAAAATTGTCTATACCATCGTAAAACACATTGCTTATCTCGAGAGCCGTGGTTGGTCAAAACTACAAATTGACCAAAAAATAGTCATTATCAAACAAAGAAGGTAAACACTGGTAACTCCCAAACAAAAATAAAAACTATATACCCTGTATATGCATTAAAAAAAAAACAGCATACACTTTAAATAAAGAATAGTAACATTTCCGCCAGGTTTAAAAATATAAAAACAAAATATTATCTGAAGACAGGTATTATCCCTTGCCTAACTGTGGCAAAATTGTGACTATTGTCAAAATTTAATGACCACAATTTCACTCTCAATGCCCAAAGAGACAAAGCAGTGTTATGCTCCTGATTCATGGTGGATCGTAGATTTTTTTTGTTATCCTGACTCATATTTTAGTAGAATATCATGGTACAAATTTACAAGTTGGTAACAGAGTTGGCAGCAACACCACTTTTCCACATCTTATGTATTCCGCTTGCAAGTTTATTGATGACCAACATTTAAAAAAGTACAGTATTGTACAACTTCAAAACTACACAACTATCAACGCATTGCTGGAAATTTAAGACTGTAGGTTTTAAGCTTAGGTTTCTACAGTAGAAGAAATTTGATGATCAAGCTACATTATTCCAATTTGGAATAATAGTAATAATAATGCAGGTACTGCACTGTATTACTCACTTTCTCACAATACAAAACACATGGCACCTTAAGTTAATGTGCTAAATTTATGCTGTACTTAATTAATTTCTTAGTGTGCTAGGTGCTAAATTACAGTAATTAGGTACAGTACTATATACATTGTAAGCAACATACATACAAAATTATGAGCTAACTGATTATGTTCAATAATATGAGTGATGAAAAATGTCTTTCCTCTCAGTTACTGCCCTCTTGTCTTTTATATTCCTCCACCTTATGATCATGACTTTTAGCACCCATACTCACTTACACCCTGTCAATTGAGGATAAGAGTCTGTTATTTAAAGGTATCAGCACACAACAATAAATCTTACTCATGTATGATGTTTCAGGGGTGGATGCAGGAATATCAAAAGGGGGGAGGGGGAGTCCAAGAAGTTGTGGGTGGGGGAACATGGCAAGCATTTTGAGACCATTTTGAAGCCATGTGCACTTGATATTTGGAGATATTCTAAGTACAATATTATATTAAAAAAAAGGTATTGGAATTTTCTGATGAAAGGGGGGAGGGGAGGTTCCGGACCTCCCCCAGGATCCGCCCGTGTTTAGTGCAAGTTTTCCTTCCCTTAGTGTGGAGGTAGAACCAGGATACGTTCAGCTCTTTACTACAGGTCCTAGAGTCGAGTTTTCTGGGCTTGATAGCAATGCAACTGATTACGGTAGGATTTTGGGGAAAGAGGCTTTAGTCCATATTGAATTTAGATGGACTTAATATCTTGTATACAATTGGTTTCACACCAGTAGGTACTGACCAGTAGAGGATTGAAAACAAAATTTTTTATTTTGTTTTTAATGTTATAAATATTTTTCTTATCCACCAATAACTATTACATTAATCCTCTAAACTTGAACACATTTGTTACATGCATTGATTATCTTCGATTTTATTTAAGCTTTAGAAATGATAGGCGAACTTAACATAATTAACAATGTTGTGTGAAATTGGCTTAAACATACTGTAGGTGCTCTATGATATAGTGACAGAAAGTTACAGAGTATTTATGGGAATGGAGAGGGTAAGGAAGAAAGTGTTGGCACAAGCAGAGAAAGCTGACAAGACAAGGTGGAGGGGTGGGAAGGAGGAATGAGGGAGTAAGGGGATAAGGGGAAAGAGAGGACAGTTCGGGGAGTGAGGGAGGGTAAGGGGTGTGGATTCATTGTCTTATGAACCGGTTTTACAATACTCATACTTGAATCTGTATTGGTCGTAAGTCGGAAATGCAAAAAATAATACATATAAAATCTAAAATGAAATACAGTACAGTAAAAGTAATCAATATTGAAGAATGGATACAGTGTGACTGTGCACTCACCATTAATGTAGTCAGCTGAATGCACACGGGGCCCCCATAATTTTCTATTTACAGGATACATGGAGACTATATTAATTGGATGAAGCAGAGGAGGAGACAGGGCTGGGTGGGTCATCAATGTCGCTTTCTTCAGACAGGTTTATGTACAGGGGAAACTTGCTGGTTGAAGGTATTGGATCATCTTTAGGGAGTGAAGAGGCAGCACTGGTGGGGCGTGAGGAGACAGCACTGGGGGACTTCTTAAAATAGATGTCAAGTTTAGACTGCAAAGTTTGCTTTTTCTTTCCATTATAAATTTCTCTGTAGCAAGCAAGTGCATCTTGGACCATTCTGTCAACTTTGGCAAAACGCTCAAAATTTTGATGTCAAACATTTGCATCCCCTTATTAATTGTAGCAAATGCCTCTGCCATTTGCTTCACTGAAAATTTTTTGGGGGGTGCAGGTCCTTCTTCTACATTTTGACTCTCTTCATCCTCTGCATTTTTGTGTGCTTCCAGTTCGATAAGATCCTCGTTACTTAGCTCTTCTGCTACACTTTCAACCAACTGTTCAACATCTTCATTATCAATTTCTAACTGAAACTGTTTACCCAACTCCACTATCTTGTTACTAATCTCAGAAATAACTTAATTTTCATTAAATCCTCTGAAACTGTTCACATATCTTTTCAGTATTTTCTTCCATATTCCATTCATGCACTGTTCTGTAACCTCATCCCATGCTGCAATAATGTTCTTTATACATGACAAAATGTTGTAGTCCTTCCAAAAATGTCTGAGCGTTTTCTCACCTTCAGTAGCAGCAACAACCTGAGCTAAGGTCGTACGTAAATAATTAGCTTTAAAAGCTGCAATAGCAGCTTGATCCATGGGTTGGATGACAGAGGTAGTGTTATGTGGAATGTAGACTACCTTAACATCAGGGTGCATGTCGTCTAGGTGTGGTGGGTGTCCCGGAGCATTATCCCAAATTAGCAAAATCTTGAAGGCAATTCCTTGTTGCAGACAATATTCTTTGGCTCGAGGAATGAAACAATTCATGAACCAATCCTCAAACGGTACTAGGGTCATCCAGGCTTTCTTGTAACTGCGATAAAACACTGGCAGTGTGTGCTTGCTGACATGTTTAAAAGCCCTGGAGTTCTCTGAATGATAGATCATGAAGAGCTTTATCTTGAAACCAGCTACATTCCCCCCCCCAACAGAGGTGTAATTCGGTCCTTGACTACCTTGAATCCTGGCATTGTTTTTGCCTCTTTGTGGATGTATGTCCATTCAGGCATGCGCTTCCATAATAATCCGGTTTCATCCACATTGAATACTTGCTCAGGCAAATAATTTCCTTTCATGATCACACGATCTAGCTCCTCCTAAAAAGCTTCGGCAGCAACAACATCAGCACTAGCTGCCTCTCCACCCACCTTATCATTATGTAAACTGCTAAACCACCCATAACTTGCTGTGAAGGTTTGGTCGCACTCATCTCCTGCCTGCTCCTTCAAGCTTTTGAACAGGCTTCTTGCTTTAGCCTGTAAGGTTAGAAGGCTTAAGGGTACACGCTTCTGTATCTGGTATTCCATCCATATCACCAATAATTTTTCCATCTCGTGAATAGGACCTTGTCTTTTCTTCGTTATGATAGTTCCCTTTATAGGTGCTGATCCTTTCACTACATCACGAATATGTTCCTTATCCTTCAGAATAATGGATATGGTCGAGTGCAAAAACTCTAGGTCGCGTGAAATTGTTGCTACAGTTTTTCCATTTTCATACTGCATTACCTGTATTATCTTAATTTTCATCTCAAAAGTAATTGACTGTCTCCTTTTCTTCTGAGCACCACCAGCACTCTCACTTGTACGCTTTCCAGTCATTCTAAAGTCAATGAAATACAAAAATAATGTCAGTACACAGCGCGATCAGATGCGGATACAGCGACAGCCAAACACCAACTAAGCATTTTACTGCGTGGGTGCTGTACCCACGCGGTGACCAAAGCCACGCCATGCTCTCGTACGGGACGGAAAAGTTTCGGTATTGAAAATGCGCGCGTCATTTGAAAATTTTTTGGTACCGACTGCGCTGTCGTATGTGCGGATGGTCGTTACGGACTGAGCAGGTCGTACGTGGGAGTGGTCGTAGGTCAGGTAGGTCGTAAGTCGGGGAGGAGCTGTATATGCTACATTACAGAGATGTTATGGTTATGTATCAACATTAAAATTCATAATGAAAACTTCAAGATATCCGTTGTCAAAATAAAGTAGTGAATGAATAAAAGGGTTAAGCTTTTGCTCCTAACCCTCGATGCAAGCTTCATTCCAATGTTTATTTTATTCACCACACATACTACACTAAATAGTTATGCATTTCATCATGTTACCTCACAATAAACTGTATGTTGAGGCAATAAGAAATTTATATGAATTAGGTTAACTGTATCATTGTAATTGCTGTAATGTTAACTCTTTGAGTTAGGAGCTTACTTTCAAAGGTGTAAAGTTACATAACTACTGTACTGCTTTATTGGGGGGCGGGGAGGGAGGGGGGGGAGAGCTCTTTACTGACCTGACTTAGACGCTTACTCTGTCCCTAGATAAGTGTTTTTGACTCCACATTATTGATAACATATTAGACAAAATATTAGTTGCACAAATGAAATAAAGGGTACACAAAATACTGACAGAGCTTATTGCACCTAATTACCGTAATTTAGCACCTGGGCCATGAATAAAATAATGAAATATAAATTTGGTACATTACCCTAAGTGACCATAGCTTTTGTATAGGAAGAAAGGGGTATAGGAATAGAATATTTGCATGAGCGAATATTCGCAAAGCGAACGTTCGTGTAGCGAGGGATACCTGTGGCTGGAAAAATATAAATTTTGAGACGAAAGCACTACTGTATAAACTTTTCATACTTCCCTGTTGGGCGCTGTAAACGCTTCTGCGCTTCACCTTGCACAGGATGTAAGGGGGTGCCCAATAAACTAGCCCCCTCAGGGGCAAATCTGAATCTGACTGTTGGCAAGTACTGGCTCCAGAATGTATCTGAACCTGTGCCAGAGCTGGTTAAGTCTTGTCTTAAATGAGCTCAAGCTCAATGCCATCACAACACTCCAGCAGATTATTTCCAGAGTTCATAACTGTCACTCCAAACAAAGTTTCCTCTTAAAATGTTCTGAACGTGTGGCTTCTTTAACCTGAGGCTGTGATCTCTAGTGGGACGGGCATCTGCTAGTTCCAAGTATGAACACTTGACAGAGTAATGTCCTCTGAGGTACTTACAAACTTCTATTATATCATTGTTGGCCCATTTATAGAATAAGCTAGGCAACTGCAGACATACTAATCTCTCTGAGTACCTGAGGTGTCAAGAGTGCAGGTACCAGTCTGGCGGCCCTCTTTTGGATGTTCTCAATCAACTGACAAACTCCAGCATACCTAGGGGACCAAACGGAATAACGGCAGTGTACAGTACAGTACTCAAAATATAGAAGCACCTTCCCTTTGAAGAGCACTAAAGAGACAGACCACCTAAATATGTGAATGGACTTTGTAAAAGCCCTATTAGTTTACTTGCTTGATTTACTTTTTCTCATGATGATCCAAGAACTTCAGTTGGTTGTCAACATATACACCCAGATCCTTTCCACATTTGGTCTTGGTTAAAGATGGTTTTTTGTCACACCTTCATACTACATATTGGTATGATCTACTGTAGATGCATCTTTTGCATTTCAAGAAGGTGAATCTTAACAGCCATTCCTTTGACCACTCCTTTAGCTGACAGAGATCTTTCTGTAATGTTTCACAGTCAATTTGGTTCTTAATGTATGATGTCTTTGTACAGTTGATCAAATGAGAATAAAAATAAAAATACTCTGCATTTATTTTAATAATTGTCCTAAAACATTTACAACATAGGTTCAGTTTGTCCAGGACTGTAGAGAGACACCAAGAGGGAAGGCCTGTCAGCACTGACATCACAGGGACATGATGTCATGAAAGATAGGGCTGTGGATTCATTTTGACATGTTTTCGCCAGTGTCTTTACATCTGCGGTTATGAACATTTTGTCAGTGGCTTAACATGCAATTATGCAGCATTACCTGCTACTGTACTGTATTTCCTTTTAGCTTATAGTGGCTGTATTTGATCAAAGTCAATATTTAAAGCTGTAATGCATGTATTTTTTCTGACTTATGGTAATGGAATTAACTACCACTGATCAGTACAGCTACTCCTCGACTTATGACCGCCTCAGTCGTACCAAAATTTTGTCAAATTACGTAATTTCAAGTCCCGACGTTAGTGATTGCGCTGTGTACTGAAAATTTTTTCATTTGTAATTCACTTTAAAATGGCTGGCAAGCTTAAAAGTGAGAGTTTTATGGTGCTGAGAAGAAAAAGAGACACCCATTTTAGATTTTCTATGTATTATTTAAGCATTTTCGACTTACAACCTTGATTTGGGTCCCTAACCCCATCGTAAGTTGAGGAGCAGCTGTATTTTGTTCAGTTCACATACTGTATATGGTATCATTATTTGCATTATTATAAATATTTATGTTATAATTATGTATAGCTGCACTTCCATCCTATGGACATCAGGTGGGACACAAAATACCTTGATGAGAGGACCAGCACTAGAATTACAGCCAAGCTGAAGGTGCCCAGCCTTCACAATGGTGCAATTCATTCTCATCTTCCCTCTCTCCCTCTTATCTGTCTGCATCAACAAGTTCTAGATAGTTGTCGCCAGAGTCAAGATGCATTCAGCTGGAGGAGTCTGCACTCCAATCTACAAAGGAAAAAAGTGTTGAAGATGATCTGCAATACAGGCAACGGAGGGAATTTTAAACTCTTTCTGGACACAAGGTATTGAACTGTTATCAGATGTGAGAAATCATTTCTTATACAGTATGTAGCACTGTTAATTTCCACATCCCAAGGTAGTGTTGTCTTTGGCTACTGACTATAGTCGTGCAATACAAGTATTTACAAATGATGTCGAAGTACACAGCATAGGAACCTATAAGATCCTTTTGTCTGTGATTGACACCAATGTTCTTGAAAGGCTTCTCTGTAACTTGCATCAGTTGGACATTGAAGAACATGTATCTAACCCAAGCAGAGTAATTACTGTTACACTTAGTTATTTCTTTTTGACAGTTCTGTAGACCGAGTCATTTAATCATCTGCACACCCTGACATTTGTAACTGAACAGATCTACTTAATGACTTTAAACAGGTTACAATATCCATCACAGCTAATGATAATTTTCCTTTATTATATAATTTCTCCCCTCCAGGTTACAGACTGCCTATACTTGTACTATGAAATACAAAATACTTAATCATCCATAGTTACTCAGCCATTAACAGTTACAGTACTACTTTGTCAAACAAAATGTACCCTGTAATATGAAGCAGAAGTTTGACATCTTATCACCAGATAATAAGACAGTTATATTAAGGTTAGACAAAATTCATCTGAAGCCTAAGTTTGAGTATAAAGGAGGAAATGTTGTTGGCTCAGCATTTGAAAGTTTTGAGGCAGTTACAACTGATTTTGTTTTTAGGCTGAGCAGTGTTATATTCAAATAAAAGATATTATCCATATAAATTCTGCTAAATGTATGAAAGCTGAAATTGTGTAAGACATTCTAAACAAGGTGGTTTAGAAAAGATAGGTTTTAGAGTAATATTGTATGAGTTTCAACATAAAATAATGCAATCAATAAGAAAGCATTATATTTTTTCTGCACCATCAAAGTTGTCAACTGTTTATCCACATCCAGCACAAAGTTCAAAGCCTCTTTTTTTTCATGTATGATTTTGTACATACCTACAGTATGTTGAATTGTGTGAGGAACAGCTGGCTAGGTCAGAAAGACACAGATAAACCCATGAAATTCTCACTTTTACTTTTATTCTCTTCGCCACTGGTCGGCTCATATACCGCTTGGGCAGTCAGTCACATCTTTGATACGCACTGTTGGCAGATACTGGGCAAGCAATGACTCCTGAATTTATTAGAACCTGCTCCAGTGTTGGTCAAGTCTGGCCTTGAATGAGCTTACACTCGGTGCCATCACAATGCTCTCTGGCAGATTGTTCCAAGAGTTCACAATTCTCCCTCCGAAAAAGTTTGTCCTCACAGTTGTTTTAATGGCAATTATGGTCCAGTGACAGAGGTCACAGAAGCTCCATTTGCCACTACACAAATTAATATTTTAGATACGAATTCATATTTGAAACACTCGTATAAGTTGTTCCTGAGGTCCTATCTCCCTCTAACCTTGAGAGGCAAAATTTAAATTAAGTGCTTAAATTTTTCAATAAGTATATTATTCAAGCTTTATTACCCATTAGAAAGAACACTGCTTGCCCTTCTTTGCAGAAGTTGCTGACTATATAAAGATCTTTTATGTCTGGTAGACTGTATTTAATGTAAACTCGCCATTTAAAGGTTGTCGACTGAACAACACACATGCCACTTGATTGACTAATGATGTAAATGATGATTAATGTAAATTTCTCTACAGTTTCTACAGCTGGTTAAAACTATGGAATGATATGAAATAAATCCCTGGAAAGCTTATCAAAGAAACTAGTACAGCCTTAAAACATATAACTCATATGCAATGATAAAAATGGACTATGTTTTAACAGGGAAGTTTCAGACAGGTTCTGCAGCATCGTCAACATATCGGTACAACAATTACTGTACTACAGTATTTGAATGTGAAAAGAAAATCAGAATGTTGTCTCCATTGAAGCAAAATCAAAATAACCCGTGTGTTAATTTGAAAATAATTGAGGAAGAAAATTGTGGAGATATGGAGATCTGCATAAAATCATAAAATAACCACAGGTGTGAAATGGAAAGATACTGAAAAATGTTTGGATGTTCTTCCATTAATAACTTACTTAACTGGTTACTGTTGTTATTGCTGTCTTATAAAAAAAATGTATTTTGTGAAGACAGTGTTGATGAATTACCAGAAACACACAACTACATTAAAAGAATCAGCCAAGGCTCTCTATTGTACCCACATGTTATATGTACAATTATACTGTACAGTATATTGTTGGTGACAAATTTTAAAGCAGCATCCCAATTTTGTAAAGTCAGTAACCAGCAAAATTTGGTAATGGATGTCACCCTAAATGCTCCAGCATATGATGATGCTCTGTTTCTGGAAGACTTTTGTAATGGTAGACATAGCACAGAAAAGGTTGAAAAATGCTGGTGTGAGCCTCTACTAATGCACTGTTAAATACTTTTTGTAGCAGATTAAATAATTCCAGAGAATATAGAAGGTACTCTGGGAAAAAGAGAACAATTCAGACATTCAACTAAATACAGTATATGTAAACATTTTCATTTCAAAAATTTCTTGCAGCTTATTCTGAAATTTTGTTCATGTCTATATTGCAAATAAATTGAAATCTCATTAGCCATGGTGTATTTCATTTGTAGTCGCTCTCTCTCCCTCTCTCTTCACACACATAATAATATAATGCAGTTCAGTTGGAACTGAATAAATATATCCAGACAATAGTACAATGTCTTAAAATCTGCACAATCAGTACCAAGTACATAGTACTGTAGTATGTTAAATCACAAATAACTAACGGTGCAGCAGTGATATTCTGCTACATGAGTAGTCTCGGTGTAACCACAAATGATGACACCACAAGCAGGCTGACAGGCCTTCTCTCTCTCGGTGGTCTCGACTGTAACCCTTGTAGGGGGTCAGGCTATTAAGGCAGCTCAATATGTCAACAATGGTGTATAAATGGATGAATGTTCTCGGTAGTTCCTCGACCCTAACACTTACAGTATTTCTAACACTTATTTACTTGGGCATAACTTCCCTATATAAGATGCAAGACAGAGTACAGTATAAATGATTACTGTATTCCTGAACTATTTTAATCACCCAAGTAGACTGAGGGCTTTAGTACTAACAACTCTTCAGGTAAGACACAATAGGGTGGATCTAATTGAAACCTTCAAAATCTTGAAAGGATAAAAGACATAAACCCAGATAAATTTGGGGGTATCACACACCACCAAGCTCATCAAGGTGCCATGCAGGATGAATACCCGGTATAAAGAAATACTGTACTTCTTCACACAGAGGGTGGTAGAACTATGGAACAGTCCACCAGCCCAAGCTGAGGAACTAAGAGCAGTACTGGGCTTCAAAATAGTCTTGAAAAGACTGTCAAGAATAATGGAGATATCCTACACAGGTCACTGGCCTCCTTCCCACAGCATGGTCTTCTCTGGGTGGGTTGGCCACTAGGTAAATTAGGTAGGTACCGGCAGGTAAATTGAAATGTTTTTAATTTTACCATTTCACCACTTATCAGCTTACAGTATTTCAAATATATAGCAAGTCCCACAAAATGAAGTCCCATTTTAACTTACAACAAATGATATTCTGCACACTGCATTTAAATTTCCTGTGGCCACTACTATAAGCTGTGTTGCGACAACATTCAGCCATTGAGGATATACTAAGACACATTTTCGCTTGATGGTGCAGTCTATAAGTGAGAGTTCTTTTTCATTTCACACGAATGAATCAACCTCAGAGAACATGAGTGGAAAGCTACCTGCTTGTTCTGGACTTAGTAGCATGCCAGTGGTGAAAAAAGTTTGCAAAGCCATGAGTTTGTAGCAGAAACCACATATTATTAAGGGACACAAGGAGTGAGCACAGTCCAACTGAAATTAGAAAAGTTTTAAACTTTGTGCATCTTCTCTGGCTACAATTAGCAAGAATACAGAAAAATTCAGGATAAGTGGCAAGTCTTTGACCCTCAGTGACTTCAACAAGTGTATCAAGTGCCAGAGACCACAAAATGGAGATGGTGGATAAATTATTATCCATGTGGACTGACGACCAAACGCAGTGTCACATGCAACCATCCAAGAAAAGGCAAATGTTTATGGAGTGATTTACAACAGCAAGAGGGGGGGGGGGGCTACATCTGGAGAGACATGCATGGCCAACAACTGGTGGTTCAACAGATTTGTAAATTACACCAATCTTCATGACCTGGATACACGATGGGTGAAACACCACCATAATAGGTGTGATGTCAAAACAGCCTCACATGCACTCATCAAAATAGCCTTACATGCTCATGTACAGTACAGTACTAATTTTTAATACACACTTCTTATAAAAAACAAAGTATCAAGCAAGACTGTCTTCATCCTGTAGTGGACCAGAGGTGACTCACCACTGTATAGCTGAACTGGAAACATTAGTAATATTCTGCATTAGTATATGAAGCATGTACAAATAAATATCCCATTATTCTTGGTTTTGAAAGGAATAACTTGCCTACTTTGACCCACAACATCAAAATGTAGCACTAGTCCTGGATGAGCCACACAAGGGGATATAAAGTGAGGGGCACTAGTGGAAAGACAGTGGCTATCAATTAAACAGTGTCCTGGGTTCAATCCCCAGCCTAGGGCAGATGTGAGAAGGTGTTATCCAGTAAGATGCTACCAAACATGGCAGGTTTACGCTAGGTAGAAACACTGGATAATAAAGACCATTATAAAGTAACAAGGAACAGACTAACCACCCAAATGGCTAGTTAGCTGATAAGTGAAAAAATGAATGTATAAAAACGAATGAATATACAAACCCAAGTTCCATCGGCGAGTTTCTATACATTAACGGGTCGAATTTGACCTTCTCTGTGATATAGAGATCCAAGTACCACAATAAAAGTTCCTTCAACTTGACCAATATCTACATATAGACTCATACTCTGATGACTGTCTTGTATAATGTCTGCTCAATGGACCTGAAAAGAAAGTATTGGTCAATTTATGTATTCATGGTAAATTAAGATTTACTAATACTGTACGTATTGATTTAATAACACTGGATGGAAGGGTCATATAGCCAAGTTATTACCAATAACTTAAACTTTTTTACCACAGATCCTTAATTAGTGTCCCAAGGACTACCTATACTAGTGGGTTTTTTAACAAATTAATTGTTAAGAATATGGTTGAAATTGTTAAGTGTATCCCCCTGAAAACTCAATACCACAAGAGTGGTCAGGTTAATTGATCTCACTGATTGGGAGCACTGCATTCCTGTTAAAACTTCAAGGAGAAATAATGTATCCCCGCTCTTTTTTACTTGCTGTTCAGGTCCAGTTTTCAAATTCATTCATTTGTACTCTGTAATGATTATGATACCTGTATATTAATTGTACTGACAATAATTTACATAAATATCTGTAATTTTTATTGTCTCAATATAAATAGTGTACAGGTACTTACATAAAAACAATCAGATTTGTTTCATTCAGTAAACTTTTGTGAGTGAATCTGCTTGGGAGCACTATAGTCAGTCTCAAGCATTCTCTCAAACTCTACTGGGCTAAACTATAGAGATTAAAATAAATAAAAATATCAATAATTAACATTCTATTAGTGATTATCTAAACAGGCCAGTTAGAACTTGCAGCTCCACACACACATTTACAAATGTCATAAGCCTTTATATGGTCCTTCATCTTTGTGCTGTGACACTAAGATAAAGAAATAAAGAAGTGGGATCTCCTGGCAGAAGGATGTTTCATTTAACCTACTATTACCAAAAGGGCCTATGATGTAAAGATAAGTCTTCTCTTTAATTTATAATTGTAGCAGGAAAATTAAGGACATAATTACTTGTGCTGGATCAACTTTGTCCTACACATCAATGCCTGTCATTCATCCCCTGGTAAAACCCTTCATAAAAAGAGAACAGGATCTGCTTAACATCCCAACACTCACACCACCACCTTGAGATACACAGTTCAAGTGAAACTCCACTTGGCCACAGAGAAAAGACTGAGTGAAAAATCTACATGGCCTAAACCCTTTGCATTCCCATTGTGCTTAAGTTAACTTGCATATATTGGACAGTACTTTAATTTGTTATTACCAGTAATTTCACCAGTTGTCAGTTTACCACCCATTTGAGCAGTTGGTCTGTTCTTTGTTACTTTGCTATAGCACAGGAGGAAACTGTAGTACCTTGATAAACTTGCCATGTCTGGTAATGTTACATTGGATAACACCTTACTCACATCTGATCTACGCTGGCAACTGAACCCATGACACAGTGATGAGAAATATGCACTTTACCACTGTAGTACAAAGAAGGAAGTGGAGAAATTAACTGTGGGATGAGTACTGGTACAGTAGTTAGTTCTTTAATTTTTTCAGAACTGAGCTTAAATTTTGTATACCTATCTTGTTCTCTGCACCCTGTTCACACCCTTGTATTGTTCTCCAGCAATACATACTAACCACAAAAGTGGTTTGGGAATAAAAGAGGCTTTGTAAAATATGACAATACAGTGGCTTGAGAATATGAGACATGTTAATCATGTTGTGGTAAAAGAAACACGCTTCTTAATATTTTTACATTTGTCTAAAAACAGTGTCCCTTACGTTGAGGCCATTTATTCTACTAATAATGAAATGTTTATAAATTACCAACATTGTGTAACACAGACATGACCAGCCACTTAACCTGCTAGAACCAACCCCCCACGCATGCATGTGTGCGTGTGCACACACACACTATTAATGTATCCTACACACATACACACAATTAACATATCCTTCACATGCCCACTATCAACATTTCCTATACACAAACACTGACTGATATAAGTGCAAGAGTACTGTACCTCAAAATTTGCTTTCTTCTTTTCAACAAAATCCTCTGCCTTACAATTTAAGGAGTAGAAGGGGGCAAGGTTGATCAACTTTCATAAGAATGCCTTTCCGGTATTATTGCGTTTACTCACCTTTCATTCCTACCACTAATCTATTATCATACCCGAATAAAACGTCTAATTATAAGATAATTTTCATCTATTACATTACCGGCGGAAATGTATAATAACGGAGAGAGCTTTTCCCAAAAAATTTATATTTTCTTCCATTAACCTCCCGCCATTATCGTCTGCCTCTCACCCAACACTGCGTGTCTCTCGAGGCTCCTTCATAAATCATGACGCGCATGCGTACCCGTACACGTCACGCGGCCAATCAAAAGCGTTTTTGCATTTGCAACCAATTAAAATGATTTTGGGTTAATTCAGAGTATATTTGGCCCAATCAAAATCAAGTTTTATTTTGGGTTTCTCATATTTTGAAATTCAAATTCAGTTCCGACCATGGATTGATTGATACATTTATTGAGATACAAAAAACATTAATACATCTCAAAGGGATGAAGTGACACAAGTCATCCCCACCCCAGTCCAAGAATGTCCCTCTCGGGACTCACATAAATCCCTAATATTTCATATAATCAGTTATAGTGCATAGTTATATTCTAGATGCAAAATTTCTATATTTCTTTAATATTTCATCTATTTTCCTATTTTTAAACATCCACTCTATTTGCTTGGGGACATTATTTATATGGGCATTTCTATATACATTAACCAATAGGCATTCCAGTATATAATGTGGCAGGGTATGGGATCTGGATGTTCTACAAACTCTACCATCTTTATTCTGTTCACTTCTCTCAGCTCCAAGTTCCCAATAATATTTATATCCTAATCTTAACCTCATATACACTGAATCTTTCCACCTACTCCTATCTTTCCCATATGTAAATTTTGTGTTCATGAGAACATGATGGTAATGTTTCATTGTTTCACTTTTCTCGTATATTTCATTCCTCTTGAAATTATTTTCTATTGATTGTATTTTCCGTAATTTGCTCCTTAATTGTTTCAAGGTCTTAGTACATATTATGTCGATCTCGGCCTTTTCCGTGGCTCTTTTTGCTATTATATCTACTGCTTCATTAAGACCAATGCCTACATGTGAAGGGACCCATACAAATTGAACATTATGGCCATTTTTCCTTATTGTATTTACTAATTTTTTATATGAACCAATAATGTGTTCAAAGACTGGACTCCCACTGTTCAAAGAATCCAAAGCTGCCCTACTATCAACAAAAAAATATGCATCTTTATACCTATTTACAACATTTTCCAATCCTACTAACATTGCATATAACTCAGCTTGTGTTAATGATATAAGACTGCTCAACCGAAGTCCAATTTTGATGTCATTATTTCCTTGTTCTGTATACTGTCTTATAAGGATCCCACACCCTGCCCTGCCACTTGACATTACTGAACCGTCACAATATACATGCAATGTGTTTATTTTAGGCAAATTACTAATCTTATTCCCATATAAAGCCCTTAACTGTCCTGGTTCATGTAATGATTTCTTCATGGTGAGAGGCACTATGTCTAACTCTACTTCTCGTTCTTCCCAGGGTGGATTCTTACAACTTTTCTGAACAGCTGTACACCAGTCTGCCAGCCGACCATGGAAGTCTGCGATGGATGTCTCTTAAAGTATATGGAGCTGATTGCGAGTTTTTGGCAAAAAAACAAACTTAGAAACTATAGCATTTTTTCGACCGCATGGTGCTCTTCCAACCTCAGTAAAGTGTACTAAGAGCAAGACTGAATGTAAATATCACAAAGACCAACATATGTGGCATTATGTAAGAATCCCAGAATGCAACGACGAACAAGAACCAGGCCAATACGGTAAGAAATAGGTGATTCCATCATATGGTGAGAGTCAGTTAGGTTAGGTTAGGTTAGGTTAGGTTAGGTCAGGTTGGGTTAGGTTTTTGTTTTAATAGTGTTTTTTGTGTATTTTTTAGTCACTTAGCCACTTTTTTTCGGAAAACGTCAAACAAACAAAAAATCGCTAAAAAAAAAACCCGGCTAATTTCCACCAAAAATGAAGGTCATATTTAGTCTAAACACACACAAATACACTAGAAAAATATATTTTTTACTTGCTAAAAGTGAACGGTGTGACAATGCAAATTTACCGCCTTTCCTTAGAGGATGCTGTTAGTGCTGCTTACTTCATTGTTAGCATCACTGGCACCAACCCATGGTCATAACCCAGAGAGGTCTTGTGTCACCCCCTCAGAATGTGTCAATTGTTCAAGATGTCATTGTTTCCCACCTGGATTGTGACCATCTCCCTGACACAACTTTTATAGTAGGAAATCTGTCAAGGATGTTGATGCCACTATCTGTAAAATAATTAGATTTAATAAACCAGACAAAGAATTTGTGTCACGTCCTTCTGAACAAATTTCTCATTGGCTTTCTAAATTGGACATTGTCAGGTCTGTACTATATTCCATACTTCATTATGTCCTAATCTATGAACAAGGTTAATCAGTATATATATTAACCATACTCTTAACATAAGAAATGGCTAGGCCTATGCTTTTAGTTACCTTACCTTTTTTTTTCTTTTTTTTGGCGTGGGGTTTCTGTACAGGATCCATGGAGTAGAATGCCGCCCTAATTTCTCCCCAAGTCCTCTTTTTCTTCTCCACGCTACTGGGCTCATGTCGTTTATCTTGAATGATTGCTTATTTCTCGACAATGAAGGAGACAAGTGTGTGTCTCTGGCGCCGAGAGAGTGGCACTTACCGCTGCTCTTGGTGGAGTGTTGTTGTTGTCATCAGCTGTTGGCACACCTGGAGCAAGACCCACTATTTGTACCACCTCGAAAACGACGGATCACTTTCTCAATTTGGATATTTTTAAGACTATTCAAACCTGATTTAAATTAATATTACATAAACTGATACTCGTTTAGTAGTTCTGAATAGGTCAAAACAATTTATTTGTTCTTTCACGCACGAGTGTGAATTAATCACTTTGTATAAAACGACTAAAACTTCATTTAGACTACTTTAAATCAAATTAACAATAATTAATTCTTCAAATTAGATTAAAATTAATTTATTTTATTAAAAATAGGTACAGTAATTTCTTGTTTTTATTCGTTGTAACATTAATACTTGTTGTCATTTGTGATGTTGACGTCCCAGTGTCTCTCACATATAATTATTTTCATATTTTGGGTGAAGTTTCACAAAATATAAGACTGGGTATGAATATATTATAAATATTTATCTATATTCTTAAAAATCCCCACAATTTTGAAATAATCAATGATTCGGGGAATATAAAATTGAATTACTGTAGTTGACGCTCGAAGTTCTCTGTGTTGACTTTTAGGGCTCTTGAAGGGAGACTAAAGAAAACGGTTAAGGGATAACTCCTGGAGTACATACATATAATGGTTGCTCCTCGTGTTCGAGGATAGCCGGTTTTAGAACCACCTAAGCGTAAATTTCCGGGGCGGAACCAGAGGGGGGTTCCTGGGGTCCGGACCCCCTTCTTTTCATCAGAAAATTCATTTTTTTAACTAATTATCTTACTCAGGCGTTTTTGTGTAGTTAAAAGTAATTACTATTGACCTCAGAATATCTCCTAATATCAAGTGCACATGGCCTCAAAATGCCCATGATATTGGTCAGATTTAAAAAAAGTTCTGGGGGGCTTACAGCGCCTTACTAGCCCCCTGCTGAGCGGGCTCACTGTGTTCACCGTGTTTCCCCACCTACAACTTCTTGCCCCCCCCCCCACCTTTTTGATATTCCTAGAGCCGCCCCTTAACTTGTTTAAGGTGTAGAAGTTGTCCCCCACACAACAACCACACGGTCCACACCCGAAGTCAAGGAATAATCCCAAGAAGACCGGACAACTCGCTAACTGCACTGGTTAACCATTACCCCAGAACTTCCCAATTACAACTGGGTAGACAAATAAAACGGTGTAAGGAAACTTGCTCATAGTTTCACCCTGCTCGGGGACTGGTTAGGTTGGGTTGAATGAGTTGAGGGCAGTAGTAAAAGGGGGGGGGGGAGGCATAGTTGCATACCCCCCTAATATACGCCACTGCCCTCGGGTCTAGAGTATTGAGGCATGATGATCTTGAGACTTTAGTGTCTGAGGCAAGATGTAAATGAATGAAAATAGTTACCCCATTTCGTTTTCTCTGACAACATTATACATTCTGTAAAAAATTATTTAAAGGATGCGATAATGAATATTTTATTTAAGATTTGGATGCCGGAGTTACCACATCAATAATCTCAACGAAATATATTAGCCTTGATCTATATGAAGAGCTTAGTAAGGAAATTCACGTCTATTGAGAAATCTCCAACTACTGTTACTACTACTTGTGTTGAAATTAATAATTATAAACGAGTAGAAAAATTCTTACGCATATAAAAATATAAATGCAGTACGTATACGGTAATAATAAGATGAATTAACTCAGACTAACATAAATTTACAAGATAAAATATGCAAGCAGTCAAGTGGAGGACCAAGACAAACTTAAATAATTCTCTAAACTCACAGCGGAAAGTAAAGCAGAAACATGGGTGCCACGATACACACGGCGTCCATTAACAAACTTTAACTTTGTCGGTCGTGATCTTGACCTCTGACACAGACTCGTATACCTTGTTATACATATTTTTAAAGTTTCACACGAATATTTGCCTCGGTAAAAGAATTCTGCTCCTTTTTTCTTCTTTTAGATTTGCCCAGTGAAGCGGCTAGTTTATTGGACACCCGTTGCACCCTGTGCAAGGCGAGAAAGGTTTTGAGTTTTAACCTTCAGCAGGGACCTTGATCTTTAAAACAGGGTGTTGTGCACCTCATGATATAACATATTTCACTGTGAATTTTAACCAAAGCGGCTGTCTCTATTATCGAGACCAAAGAACCGCTCACGTTCTTCGGTGGGATGCAACATTATGACAACTTTAACTCGGATTAATACAATTTAGTATATAATGAGTCACAATAATAATATGATGAAGTATAAGAGTGGAAGGGTCAACACACTGTCAGCTTCACCCTGGTAATCCCTATTCACCTGAGAGAAATCAAGGTTCCATCTTTGTCAATACTGACTCAGCAGTTTGAGAAACAAAAACCGCCAAGACTGATGATGCAGCAGATTTTGGTAGGCGCCTCAACCCACACCCGCCTCGTCCTCCTCTACCCATAACCAAGACAGATCCAGACATATGATATGTTTGTTCGCCCAGTAAACTGAAACAGAAAAGATAGAGTGGCAGTTAGTTTACTTGAAGAAATATCCGGTAGTCCTCACCGATAATGCTTGTGTGACCAGCAGCAGCAGCAGCACTTGGACTGTTACAGTGTGTGTGTGTGTGTGGCCATGTTTGGACTTTCTCCTTGGTGTTGAGTAGTCGAGATAATGAGTGTGATGATGATAGAACCCCGATGCCAGTGTTGCATGCCAAGCGTTCTTAATCCATCTTCCTTATCCTCCCATTCACCATTTTATATGACCTTCTTAGGACTTTCTATTCAAAGAGCAGGAAGAATTCATCCTCGGGGTGGGAGGAGGAGGAAGAGGATGGGGAGAAAGGCCATAGGACCTATACTAGGTCTTTTTGAACCATGCTAACCCATAAACTACAACTAAGGTCTTGACGCCTGTAGTGGGAGCCAACAATGTAGAGGAAATATATATATAATAATCTTATATGATACACTGTTATTTCACATATGATGGAGGGGAGAGGAGATCTGCCCAACCGTATTTTCCCCAGACCCTCCCCATTACCCCATGCTTCAATGTTCCTCCCATACATCCTTATTCCCTAAATCTTCCCATCCCTCCTATACTTCTCTTCTCCCTAGAGCTCCCCTCCATCTCCATTTCTTCTTCAACAGTCAGCTTTCTCTGCCTCCTGATAGCTGAGTCAGTGTGTACAGTCACTTGTCTGAGCATAAGAGTGCTGTGTGGGGGAGGGGCGCGCAGTAGGATATTGCGTTCGAATCACATCCACTGTGTTCGTTTCTTAAAAGTTAAACCAACAACTTCCAAAATCCTTCAAAAAGATGACAGTAACACCTTATTTTAGATATTTTTTAGCTGTTCTCAAATGAGGTTTACTCCTTTGATGTTGCTGCAGGGATGTCTTATATAATTTGCTGTGTTCATAAACAAACACAGCTGTAAAGAAAAACACTCTTTTGAGTGGCGGTGTCAGCTCCTCTCCTCACACTACACTTGTCAAAACTAAGATTTTTCAGCTTATAGACTTTTATCGAAAATGACACAAGTGGTCCAGGGATGAGTGGCAAAACAAGCAAAAAATTTTAAATAACAAGGTGAAGGAAATAAACCAGTATTGTGTTCATAGATGGCGCTGACATCGAGGTAGTATTATCGTGAGTGACTATGAATTAAAAAAAAATAAAAATCACTCTCAACAAAGATCATCCTTCTCAATATCTCTCTCTATTTATAAAGGTTCACACACCACATCTCACCAGTTAACTGTCACTAAGCGGAGAGGGCAACACCTTCTTGACTCTGAGGTGGTCACTCAGAGGGGATAGGTGTCACCTTATCTCACCACTATACAGGTTCACTAACTACATGATAATTGATAGTTAACTTGAGTATTGGAGTTCTGTCTATTTATCTCCCACAACAGTCTTTCCCACAAGTCTCTCCCACAACAGTCTCTCCCACAATTGTCTCTCCCACAGTAGTCACTCCCTCAACAGTCTCTCCTACAACAGTCTCTCCCTCAACAGTCTCTCCCACATCAGTCTTTCCCTCAACAGTATATCCCTTAACAGTCTCTCCCTTAACAGTCTCTCTCTGAACAGTCTCTCCCTCAACAGTCTCTCCCTTAACAGTCTCTCCCTCAACAGTCTCTCCCTCAACAGTATCTCCCTCAACAGTCTCTCCCTCAACAGTCTCTCTCTCCTCTCTTAACAGTCTCTCTCTCTCTCCCTCAACAGTCTCTCCCTCAACAGTCTCTCCCTCAACAGTCTCTCTCTCAACAGTCTCTCTCTAGTCCTCTCAACAGTCTCTCTCTCAACAATCTCCTCACACTCCTCTTCAACAAGTCTTCCCTCAACAGAATAGTCTCTCCAGTCTCACAGTCTCTCAACAGCATATACCAGTCTCTCCTCAACAGTCTCTCCCTCAACAGTCTCTCTTCTCTCAACAGTCAACAGTCTCTCCTCAACAGTCTCTCTCAGTCTCCCTCAACAGTCTCTCCTCAACAGTCCTCCCAACAGTCTCTCTCTCAACAGTCTCTCCCTCAACAGTCTCTCCTCAACAGTCTCTCCTCACAGTCTCTCTCCAACAGTCTCTCCCTCACAGTCTCTCCCTCAACAGTCTCTCCTCAACAGTCTCTCCGTTAACAGTTTCTCTCTCAACAGTCTCTCCCCTCAACAGTCTCTCCCTAACAGTCTCTCTCTCTCAACAGTCTCTCTCTCAACAGTCTCTCTATCCACAGTCTCTCCCTCACACAACATCTCTCCCTCAACAGTCTCTCTCCTCTCAACAGTCTCTCCCTCAACAGTCTCTCCCTAACACAGTCTCTCCCTTCTCTCTCTCAACAGTCTCTCCCTAACAGTTTCTCTCTTCTCTCTCTCAACAGTCTCTCTATCTCTCCCTCAACAGTCAACAGTCTCTCTCTCAACAGTCTCTCCCTCTCTCCCTCAACAGTCTCTCTCTGTCTCAACAGTCTCTCCCTTAGCAGTTTCTCCCTCAACAGTCTCTCCCTCAACAGTCTCTCCCTCAACAGTCTCTGTCTCAACAATCTCTCCCTAAATAGTCTCTCCCTTAACAGTCTCTCACTCAACAGCCTCTCCCTT